GAACCTAGAAGGCGCTGACAAGTTTTTCACTCCAAAGGCAGCTCACAACACGTGCCACACATACTGATGGCACTTGGGTCTTTTTCCCTCCCCCAGGGGACCAACCACGGTCAGTTTCTGGAAACTACCAGAGGTGAAAGAAAGTGATTAAATTAGGAAAGGATTGGGAGAACTTCAAATTCAAAGGATCTGTCGGGGAAGTGAACTGCCTGAAAAGAGAAAAAACGCCAGACCCACCAGGACTCGAACCTGGGACCCTGCTTGTCATGAGCAATGCTCTAACCACTGAGCTATGGGACCAGGCTGAACCTAGAAGGCGCTGACAAGTTTTTCACTCCAAAGGCAGCTCACAACACGTGCCACACATACTGATGGCACTTGGGTCTTTTTCCCTCCCCCAGGGGACCAACCACGGTCAGTTTCTGGAAACTACCAGAGGTGAAAGAAAGTGATTAAATTAGGAAAGGATTGGGAGAACTTCAAATTCAAAGGATCTGTCGGGGAAGTGAACTGCCTGAAAAGAGAAAAAAACGCCAGACCCACCAGGACTCGAACCTGGGACCCTGCTTGTCATGAGCAATGCTCTAACCACTGAGCTATGGGACCAGGCTGAACCTAGAAGGCGCTGACAAGTTTTTCACTCCAAAGGCAGCTCACAACACGTGCCACACATACTGATGGCACTTGGGTCTTTTTCCCTCCCCCAGGGGACCAACCACGGTCAGTTTCTGGAAACTACCAGAGGTGAAAGAAAGTGATTAAATTAGGAAAGGATTGGGAGAACTTCAAATTCAAAGGATCTGTCGGGGAAGTGAACTGCCTGAAAAGAGAAAAAAACGCCAGACCCACCAGGACTCGAACCTGGGACCCTGCTTGTCATGAGCAATGCTCTAACCACTGAGCTATGAGACCAGGCTGAACCTAGAAGGCGCTGACAAGTGTTTCACTCCAAAGGCAGCTCACAACACGTGCCACACATACTGATGGCACATGGGTCTTTTTCACTCCCCCAGGGGACCAACCACGGTCAGTTTCTGGAAACTACCAGAGGTGAAAGAAAGTTATTAAATAGGTCCCAGGTTCGAGTCCTGGTGGGTCTGGCGTTTTTTTCTCTTTTCAGGCAGTTCACTTCCCCGACTGATCCTTTGAATTTGAAGTTCTCCCAATCCTTTCCAAATTTAATCACTTTCTTTCACCTCTGGTAGTTTCCAGAAACTGACCGTGGTTGGTCCCCTGGGGGAGGGAAAAAGACCCAAGTGCCATCAGTATGTGTGGCACGTGTTGTGAGCTGCCTTTGGAGTGAAAAACTTGTCAGCGCCTTCTAGGTTCAGCCTGGTCCCATAGCTCAGTGGTTAGAGCATTGCTCATGACAAGCAGGGTCCCAGGTTCGAGTCCTGGTGGGTCTGGCGTTTTTTTTCTCTTTTCAGGCAGTTCACTTCCCCGACTGATCCTTTGAATAATAATAATAATTATTATTATTATTAATAATGGGAGATTACCTACAGTCGGTAATGTAAACACAACGTCATAATCATAAATATACAGCGACTGGTTTAGACATGGGTTGAAGAAAACCAGTAATTATGGTATTATACCTGGAGGTTATGCACACAATATCACTAAGGAATGGGATGCCAGTCCTGGGCCTTGGCACGTCATTATAACCGGGCTGTGAGGGCCGGCGTGCGGCTTTTGCTTGCACACGTTATACAAATCCACTAGGGGTGAAAGTTGGCACTGAGATCCCGAGTTCGAGTACTCTGATTTTCTCCGATCGAATATTCGAGTATTCGAGTATTTTTCATCTCCTAAAAATTGCACACCAAGGGCTTTAAAATAACATGGTGCAACCCTGATTGAACTGAGTAGCAGTCATTTTTCTCAGGTATATTGGTTGGTGGGTCAATTGGGCTCTCTCCACTCGAGAACAAATGTTCACCACACAGTCTGCACATCACCATCTGCCGACTGCTGCCCTGAAACTGCAGATTTCTGTAGAAAATGCATGTACCACGTATGAACGAGTACTCTGATTTATTCCGAGTACGATTATTTTTGAAAAAACCGAGCGAGTACTCGAGTACTCGGTATAATTGTTTCACCCCTAAAATCCACACACCCACTCAAAAATGTAATAGTCCGGAACGAGGTCAAACCGAATGAGACAACTGAGTGCGAGTTGAGTTGGACCAACATTTGGGCAATGCGAGAAGGGTATCAGCAGCGTCCAACAGCCGCAGGAACAGCAGCAGGTGATGATGGAGTACCAAGGGGCTTGTATAATGCACACTGCAGTGAGACAAGAGAACCCTCACTGTGGTATGCGAAATCTCTTTAACCTTTATTCTGCCATTGTTCCCATCATGGGAGCAAGAAATAGGAATTTTTGCCCTCGGTCTAGGCTTTCCCCAAATCGGCCCGTTTTTCGCATATTCGGCTTTTCGCTAGGCTCAAAAATACATAAGATTCGGCAACAAAATCAGCTGATTGTTCGGAAATCGGCTGCAAAATTGAAGTATATTGGAAATCGGCCTAAAGAATTCTTGACATATTGGCTTCAAAATTGCACGCTGTGAGGGCCGGCGTGCGGCTTTTGCTTGCACACGTTATACAAATCCACACACCCACTCAAAAATGTAATAGTCTGGAACGAGGTCAAACCGAATGAGACAACTGAGTGCGAGTTGAGTTGGACCAACATTTGGGCCATGCGAGAAGGGTATCAGCAGCGTCCAACAGCCGCAGAAACAGCAGCAGGTGATGATGGAGTACCAAGGGGCTTGTATAATGCACACTGCAGTGAGACAAGAGAACCCTCACTGTGGTATGCGAAATCTCTTTAACCTTTATTCTGCCATTGTTCCCATCATGGGAGCAAGAAATAGGAATTTTTGCCCTCGGTCTAGGCTTTCCCCAAATCGGCCCGTTTTTCGCATATTCGGCTTTTCGCTAGGCTCAAAAATACATAAGATTCGGCAACAAAATCAGCTGATTGTTCGGAAATCGGCTGCAAAATTGAAGTATATTGGAAATCGGCCTAAAGAATTCTTGGCATATTGGCTTCAAAATTGCACGCTGTGAGGGCCGGCGTGCGGCTTTTGCTTGCACACGTTATACAAATCCACACACCCACTCAAAAATGTAATAGTCCGGAACGAGGTCAAACCGAATGAGACAACTGAGTGCGAGTTGAGTTGGACCAACATTTGGGCAATGCGAGAAGGGTATCAGCAGCGTCCAACAGCCGCAGGAACAGCAGCAGGTGATGATGGAGTACCAAGGGGCTTGTATAATGCACACTGCAGTGAGACAAGAGAACCCTCACTGTGGTATGCGAAATCTCTTAACCTTTATTCTGCCATTGTTCCCATCATGGGAGCAAGAAATAGGAATTTTTGCCCTCGGTCTAGGCTTTCCCCAAATCGGCCCGTTTTCGCATATTCGGCTTTTCGCTAGGCTCAAAAATACATAAGATTCGGCAACAAAATCAGCTGATTGTTCGGAAATCGGCTGCAAAATTGAAGTATATTGGAAATCGGCCTAAAGAATTCTTGGCATATTGGCTTCAAAATTGCACTTTGCAACAACGTTTGGTAGATTTCCGGCGATTCTCAAAGGAACCCTCCAATATTGGCGAAGAGCTACCGGTAAGCGATTTTTCTGATGTATTTTTGAGCCGAGGGAAAAGCCGAATAGGCGAAAAAACGGGCCGATTTGGGGAAAGCCTACCTCAGGCTGCCTGCAAGCACCAACAAACGCAGTCGTTAAAACAAATACTAATAGAAGAATATTTAAACAATCGACGAAGAGACAATAGTCGTAAAATGGAAATAAATAAGATAAATTGTGCACTCATAACAACAGCAAAAAAACGAAGAAAGTCAAGTTCAATAACGTTTTCTTGTGACTCTCATCCAGGGAGTCGTGAAATACTATTTGACGACTCCCTGCTTTCATCAGTGGAACGCCGTCACATAAAAATGTAATAACTAAAACACACACTTATATACATGTAGCTAATATGGTTCTAGGTAGAAATACAGCAGCCAGCAAGTACAAAAAGCGAAGTCTGCACCTTTGCAAATGTGTGAATATAGTGTATGTGAGAAAGGTAGTGGCAGATGAATGTGATGAATGTGATACTGTGTGAATGAATGTAATGGTGCGTGTGTATTACTTGAAGAGTGTGAGTCATGCATTTTCTTTCCGTTTACATAGCACAGGGTCACGAGTACCAATATACACAGCTGCCAACACCTGCAATTGCTTTCCTCCAACGTCAGGAGTTTCCGAAGAATAAAAAATTAATATTTTGTTGTTGAAAGCAGACTCCTCGAGGCCTCCGCCATCCTCGGAGGTCAGGAACGAAATCCCCTGACCGGGTGAGGAACTCTCTACTGACGTGAAAGACATACTACATGTACATGTACATTGTACTGAGGTCCCCCCCGGCTAGCGCTAGTCACCAAAAACCAACAAACCAATTAATTTAGCAACAATTTTCCGTGTTTTGTTTCTTATAGATCTACATGAAACCCACATATTTCATGTACTCTTGATGATTGATACGACCCTTTGAACCAGGATGTTGTTGTTCTTATATTTTTTGTTTTTTTTTTAAATTATTTATTCGCACATGTTGTGAGTCAGGCCAGGGTCCCGGGTCCCCGGAGTAGACCTTCGTACTAAAAAACGTGGTGTTTAGTACACATGATGTGATCTGACTTGAACCGAACGCGAACTTTGAACCCAGAGTAGACTCTACACTTACCGGTACATGTACTGTGGCTCTGGAGATCAACGGTTCAAAGATTTCCGCGGCCGCAGATCAGTGAAGTCGCAGGAGAACCCCGCTTTCATGACTGAGCTCCTGTCTACAGACTGGAGAGCACAAGCATACATGCATACATGCATGTACTGTACGATCGTACATCTACACCCATCTTCGAGGAAACGAAACAAATCAGAGTAGAAAATAGTGCAACGAAATTGTTGGAAAATTACTAATTGCTGGTTTTGGTGGCAGGCCGAGGGCCCAGTTGTGTTGTCCTTCACGCCGGGAGGGAGGGTTCCGTGCCCGGCCTGGCAATTTTCGTTCCTGACCTCTGAGGATGGCGGAGGTTAGTGTGCTTTCAAATTTAAATTTAATTTTTTTGGAAAACTCTGAATTTGATGATAATAATTATGATGACGTGAATTGAGGTAAATACTATTATAATTATGACGTCATGCTAGACTGATGTGGAAAGTAATACCGGGGGAAGTGTGAGAGTCCACATAGCAGTAGCAATTCATCATCCATCATGCTTCAAGTTTTTTGTATTTTGTATTGTATTTTATTATTTTACTTGGGCATTCTCAACAGACCCTAAGGTCTTCTTACAGGGTGCCCAAGATGAATGAAATTGTTAAGTTCCTGACGAAATGAATTGGGGATATGATTTGTGCGAAGGGATTCGGGAAACACGTTAAAGCGGTCAGCACCAAGGAATGAAATAGATCTGTATCCAGCTTTTGAGCTTGCACAATGGGTAAGGAAAGGGAATAATTGACTTGGCCGCGGGTTACTCTATCTGTGTGAGCGCAGTCACGGCAAAGTCTGTGCTTTCAAATACTGTAAGGCCACAGGTTTTTATTTCTATGTTTCTCGTCACTCGCACGCATGCGATTCAGGAGTCTGGAAGAAATAAAGAAAAAAAGCTGTGCTGTACTGTGCTTGTGGAGGCCAGCACAATACATGTCACATTGTGCACCCTGGCCTGGCCTGCGCGACACGTGATGCGAGGTCCGCTAGCGTTGCAGTTTTGGTTGCGCAATCTGCGAGCACAGAAGCTCTTAACGGTACGACGTAGATAGTACAGTGCACTACTACAGCAAGGTAGCTCGTGTCGAAATACAGAATTAGACAATTAATATATCAGGGTATGTAATTGGGCACTTTAGAGGGGTTATGCCCCCCCCCCCCCCCAAAGTAGCAAACAAGTCGTTCTCTAAGAAAGGGACAAGTTTACATGGAGGTCAATAAAATGCTTTCAACCTTCATCTGTTGCTTCTTGCAATCATGTCAGTAATTCCCATCGTATCAGAACATGCCAGGGTAGACTTCTCAGCAAAAATACACTGTTCGATCGTACAGACTTCTGTGTGAGGAGACGAAACAGGTATTCCGAACCTCGATTTGCCATGGTTGCAAAGTGCTTTGAAATTTAGATTATTTGTAGCATGGAGATTGTGGGCACAAGTTATGCGATCGAGTCCACCAACTAAACCAGATTTTGAACAGTCAGATGTGCACAATCTAGCACAAAACTGACAGGGAGTACTGAGACATTCCACGGCATGAAAGTCAGCTTGAGCACTGCTCGATAGCATAGTTTCTTGCCGTGGAATGTCTCAGTACTCCTTAACAGTTTTGTGCTAGATTGTGCATGTCTGACTGTTCGAAGTCTGGTTTAGTCGGTGGACTCGATCGCATAACTTGTTGCCCACAATTTCAATGTTACAATTTTTTTCCTTGGCTCTGAAAATTCTGGCAGAGAGCTAGTTTGTGAGAAAACAGCGAGCCAGAGCAGCAAGCAAGCGTGGAACAACAAATGCTTGAAAGTAGAATCGGTGCGCACAGGCAGTTTAGTGAGCCAGCTGCCATGCTAAGCTGACGTCAGTGAAGAGCGCGCAGCCCCCGGTCGTATATGCAACATGTGCACGTGGTCGCATGCACAGACAGTGTCAAGGCCAGCGCAGCGTATCAGCTGTGGTATGGGTAAGGAACAAGTGCAACGTGTACCCTATGCAAGAGAGCCAGCTGAGAGGGTGTTACGTGACTGTTAACTACAGTTAATGCTTCGCATAAAGTGATATATAACTATTACTTTGGATGCTAATTACACGGTCTATTGTTCGATTTTAGTACAGACCAAAGGTCTAGTAATTTTGTTTATTTTTCGGTAATTTGTTTTATTTTTTCCACCTTTTGCATACGATATTAGATTTTAGGGTGATGAGAAACATACTTCCTCCGCGTCATCGAAATTGTCGCAGTTTGACTAGTGACTTGTCACTTGTTACTGACAACTCCATAAGCTAAACCATTCAAAACTTATTACACAGTATGATAGTCTGAAGACTAGAGTAACGTTCCAGGACAGTTGGACTGAGAGTTTTCATGCAGAGATGAAGTCCTCGTCGTCGCTGATGTCAATGGACGCAAAAATATTGTTCCAAAGAAGGTTGAAAGTTGGTCGCGCCTCATCTCAAACGCTTTGACTTTCTCCACAGGACAAGAGCTGCTATGCTTGTCGTCTGCTAGCTCTGGATGATTCCTACTACACCGCCAGCGAAGCCTAGTAAGAATACACGATCGTTGCGAGGTCGGTTGATTACCGTCGGCGGAATCACCTCGATCTTGAAATGAACTTTTTTTAGCCGTGGCATGCCCATTTATTTTAGCTGTGTGGTCACAGCTCATGCAGGTAAGTGTACTATCAAGTCCAGCGCGCCCTCTTTTTCAGCATCACTGCCACTGGTACGGCACCTGCGCGTGCATCACTAGCACCACGTGTGGAGTCTACATAGCTCTTGCAGGTACAATCATGTACTGAGTGTCTCAGCTAGCCAGAGCGACAACATTTAATTTTATCGCTGTTGCGTGCATTTAGTTTGCTGACCCCTCGATGTTTCTCCAGGCGCTGCTACTTGTTCCACGAAGTCATTCTCACCCCAGCTAAGGTAAAACAGTGATGAGGCTTGATTGAATGGCCATAAGCACGAGAAATGTGCAGGCTGCAACGCCTGACTGATCTCAGCGAGTCGAAATTACCATCGCAGCGACATCAGCGAAGAAGCTGCGTCTAGTAAAATTTCAGCTTCCAATAACAGAAAATAGAACTAACTTTGCCGTCACCCTAAAGTGATGACTATCGCCTATGTCCAATTCCTTGCCTCTGGTACGAGTGCTGGTGAGTAAATATCCCGTTTTATATCAAAAGTCAAACTGCGACAATTTCGATGACGCGGAAGTAGAAAATATAAACGTATGGCCTAAAACCGGAACGTCTAACGAGTTACAAAGTCTACCGTTTTAGCGACCAATTTTTTCGTTATTTGAAGAACGTTATCGTGTGTCCGGTTTGAGATGTCTGTGTAAAGATGCGCATACACGGATGGGTGGCAAGCAAGTTAAGATTTTCTGCATGTTAACATGCCAAACTTACAAAAACGTTAAAATTTTTGAACACACGGCGAGCAGACAATAATTTGATAATCGCAATCAATAAAACTAGCTGAACCGACATTTGTGTACTTTATTCATGCAATGTAAAAACGGTGGTCGTTCAATTTTCCGGTTTTACAGCAGGCAAGAAGGTAGAAGTGCGGTAAATGTACATGCAGTGCTGTTGCTGCACACGAACATCAGTTTTTCAAATAATTGCCGTGGAGACAACAATCCGAAAAAGGTTACAAAAAGGATCAACTGGGCACTCCTGACAATCACAAGAAAACGTTCTTGGAAGTGCTAAACCGACCTCGCTTACATGTGTGTATATAGTCATGAGAGTGCAGTTGATGTTGTTCATACATACAGACATAGCATTGTTCAGATTGTTGTCTCCACGCATAATTCCTTGTTTACCTTTAGTGGAGATACAACACATCTCAGATAGATATTCTGAGCAATGTACATCGTAAACGTCATGTGTGTCGATGTATTACTCCCAACATAACCATTCTAACGCAATCTCAAGAACACGTTTTTGGAAATACTAAACCGACCTTGCTTACAAGAGTGTACAGCCTTGAGTTGTTGGCGTTACCTTTATTTTACTTCACCATAGGTACAGGCATTGCTGCCTTCTTGTTATGAATCATAAATGATGCCACAGCTTCTAGGCTATGATGAGAATATAAATAAGTATGATAGGTTAATATGATCAAATATGAACAGTATGGGAAATAATAAGATGTCATGACTATCAGCAGTACAATTATAAATACCATGCAGCAGTGTATTTGATGTGTGTTACGGTTGTAGATAATATGGGGAAAGGCAGTGGTTGATGGACTGGGGACAGAACATCATAGTGTGTCATTAGCTACTGGAGTGAAGTGAGATCAAGATCTGAAAGAATTTTTTTTCAAAGAACAAGATTTGTTAGAGAGCGGGTAGCATTGGCTAGAGCGTTCCACGTGGTGCTGCCCAGAAATTGGATAGAACATCTCCCAGCAGGATTGGGTAGGAACGGGATGCCAAGTAAATTATGCAGTTGCCCACAGGTGACTATACGATCAGCAAGTGGTATCTGAGGCTGGGCAAGTAATCCAAAAATAATAATCTTGAAAAAGAGAGCTTGCAGATCCGTATATAGACCGGAAAAACAAGTGCAAGCAACTTCTATAAATGGACTTGGTGAAGTGATGGCATGGATAACTTAGCAAGCAAGGGAGCTGTTGCAGTGCGGCGGGGAGCTTGAAACACAGCACGAATTCCAGACTTATGGAGTTTTAGAAGGCAATTTAGCAGAGACTGTGAAAGTGCAGGAAAGAAGCAATTAGAAGCGTAACGAGATGAGATAGTATCATAGACGTATACCACATTCGACGTGCTTTCAGTGACAAGGCCCATGTATAGTTGATATTGTTCATAGGGTGGCACCGAATAAATCCTTTGTTTCGGGTAACCCGACCGACCGATGTTTTAAGTGCGAATCAATTTTTTGTATGCATTCATGCATATGCGCATCATAGGCATGTACATGTACGTGCTCGCACTTCGCATTGTGCAAGGTCCGAGGCAAAGGCTCTTCCTTCCTGCTCCTAGCCCTAGCCAGTTAGACATGTCAGTTCTTTGTTTTGAGTTGACTCGATCCAGACTGATTTGTTGCAAGGTGGTTCTATTTACCAAGTGTAACACTTTCGACATTTTTTGATGCCATCTTCAGTAGCCTACGGTCCATCAAATAGTACAGCAGCTGTAATGGTAGTATTTTTCTTGCTGTTGTGGAGTGTTGTTGGTGTTGTGCTTCTATTTATAGTCGTTCAGCCAAACAGGCAATGGTGCCTTCTCACAAGGAGACGGCTTAGAAGAGGAGAGGGCAGAAAGAGAATGGGAGGGGATTAAGAAGCAGGAGTAAGATCCAGATCTTTGGCACAGTACAAAAAGTGGCTTAGGCAACTGGGAGAATAAGGAGATCTTGCTGGTGAACTGTTCGTGCTGGTGTTCGCAAGCGTCGTGTGGTCTCGTCTGTTCGAAAAAATGAACCTACTTCACTTGAAGTGCTACAGGAATAACATCAAGACTTGTTTCTTGTGACAGTGATTTTTGTGATAATCGACAGGAATTTCGGGCTACCGGGAGTTTATTCAAAATTGCGGGATAATCACGGAAAATCTAGATACTTGGCAGGTATGTCACATATGAACAGGGGCATGCATATTCACGTGCCAGAAAGAAAGAGTGCATGATGAGATGACACTGGTGAGAGAGAGAGAGAGAGAGAGAGAGAGAGAGAGAGAGAGAGAGAGAGAGAAAGAGAGAGAGAGAGAGAGAGGGAGAGAGGCCATTAAGGTATATAAGAGAGAACTGCTGCTCTCCTTTTTTTCTTTTTTTCTTACTATGTTCAGATTCCCAGCTCGAAAATAATAAAGAAAGTTCTGGTGTTGTTGATGTATCCCCAGTGTGTTCAGGCCTTCCAGTCTCAGCTGTTGGTTGCGTTCCTTCTACTACATGCGATAGTGAAAATCGAAACAGCCGGTAAGTGATCGCTGAAGGACACCATGTCAAATACGAAGCTAATGTACCTACTGCCAATCAGCTCTAGCGTGTCTTGGATGCCCACTCCAACAGCCTTCCAACTTGTAAGGTTCAAAGTACTTGTAACAGATATAACAGAACATAAGAGGTCAAGGTGAGCGCAACCAAGACAAGCACGAGCTGAAAGTCTCAGCTGTGAAGGACATTGGCGGATGTACATGCATATCCGATATGCATGTACATCCGCCAACGTCCTTCGTTGATGTTGTAAAGCGTCAGTAGAGTCGGTCATTGTCGTGCAATGTTATCTTATGAGCTGATTGTTTAGTAACTGGTGGTGTTAGTGGACATTATAGCATAACTTGTAGTTCCTTGGTCCTTTTCTTTTCTATAAATTTATCTTAGGCTCTCCATCCGAGTCCATACTTGTCTAAACACTCCTTTTTTAGGTTGCATTCACACACGGTACAAAAAGTGTGGTGGAAATCCTCGTACAAGCCACTTGCAACATGTATGCGTTCACACAGGAATGTAGTTCCATGCCATGCACCTTAAAAGTAGCCAGGGTGAGCAGATATCCATGGTGAAGCGTGGCAAATTTGAATTTTTGCGCCAAACTAGCTGCACCTAGGGTACGCTTATGCAGATGGTACACCTACCACTTCTTTCGACTTGCCTGAAAACGATGCATAAGTTTCTTTTGAAGCCAGGGCATCTTTACATCCGATCTCTCTCCTCTCTCTCTCCTCTCTCTCTCTCTCTCTCTCTCTCTCTCTCTCTCTCTCTCTCTCTCTCCCCCCTCTCTCTCTCTCTCTCTCTCTCTCTCTCTTTCTCTTTCTCTCTCTCTCTTTCTCTCTCTCTCTCTCTCTCTCTCTCTCTCTCTCTCTTTCTCTCTCTCTCTCTCTCGACTCAGTTAGTGCAAAGATTTCTTTCCCTAGCTATGTTGCACTTACCACCCTAAGACCAGATATAGTTCTGTACTCTACGAGTCGTAGGATTGTATTCTGGATGGAGTTGACAGTTTGTGCTGAGGACAGATTCAGTGTCAGTAACTCGCGGAAGGACAGGCGGTATGCGGATCTGGCCGATCAATGCCGAGCAAACGGGTGGCAGGTCGTTTCTTTTTCGGTTGAGGTAGGTGTGCGTGGTTTCATCCCGGACTCTCTTCGGAGGGCTCTGAAAGCGCTTGGATTTTCTAATCGAAGAATAAAATTTATTTGTAATTTGTGCAGTAAGACGTCTCTGCGAAGCAGCTACATCATCTGGTTGCGGCGTCAACAAAAACACTGGTCGGAAGATCCACTTTTCTGAGGTACTGTATGTGGGGCTCCGTTTATTGAGGTGCGTTGAAATTTATTCTCTTTATCTTATTATTTCTTTTCTATAATTTCCCCATATGAGTTCCTATCAGTTGCTGTGAACACCTTGAGTGGAGAGCGCTTGCTCGAGCGTTGAACCGGGTTCTTAATCCACCATACCCAGTTCGCAAGGCTGGGCGGGGTTGTGAGCAGGCTTTCATTTCATCTTTTCTTATTATTTCTGCTTTTCATCTCATTACAAAAATTCTGCGCTTTTTCTCCATCTGCGCATAAAATCTAGACTGACAACCTGCTTGTTAAATCATGCACCTGCTTTCAGGCGTAAAAACCCTGTTGTAGAGGTCTCAGTCCTCATTTGTTAGACTTACCTGTCTTTATAAATGTAACTTACTCTCTCTCTCTTTCTCTCTCTCATCTCTCTCTCTCTCTCTTTCCCCCCACTCGCTCTCACTCTCTCTCTCTCTCTCTCTCTCTCTCTCTCCCAGTCTCTCTCTCTCTCTCTCTCTCTCTCGCCGAGTCTCTCTCTCTTTGTCGCTTTCACTCTCTTTCCCTCGTTGCAGATGTAAGCTGTGAAACCAGTCCTCACCATTGCTCGTCAAACAGCCGGTGTTTGGCGAAAACTGATGGTCTCACCTGCAAGTGTGAACATGGTTTCTCTGGACCAACATGCACAAGTGAGTGACAATCCAACAATGCTGCATGCTTGTTGCCATGACAATGTCTACTGGTAACCTCTCCGCATCATAACAAGGGAAGTCACTCATCACGCCTGACTAACATCATATCTCGTTGAATTGATTTTTTCAGTCTGGTTGGCATAACACTTTCTTCTTGAAAGATTGCAATGCAGCATGAGTCAGTACCAGGGAGTCGTACTCAAATTAGGGAGGTGACACGGCACAGAAATCCGTGTCACAGGGGTTGACTCGCACCCGTGACCCCTCGTTGTTATTTTTGGAATAGTGCAGCCAGTCCGGTCCGAAAGGTCATACTCGGATCGACTCGCCTTCTGTACTTCACCTCCAAGGGTGCAACGCAAGACCCGCAAAGTATGATTTTTCTGTGGGGAACGATTTTGCCATTGATCAAGTTTTTATTGGAGTGCTCAGGCATACTACGATTGCTGAGACGTCCCGAGCACGCTTGTTCAGGTTCTCTATTTTTGACGAGCCGGTGCTACAGCCCACTACATTGTATCTAACGACGTAGGAGCTGACAATGTAAGAGGATTTCCTTGGAAATAATGATGATGGTGGTGTGACTGGTGCAGGAAAAATGCTGGCTGTTTATGACAGTATGACTAGATGTACAATGTAGCTCTCTTGTATGGCACTTAACCCCTGCTATAAATGTGTTGTTTGGGAAGACTAGTGTATTGTGCAAGTCATAAAAAAGAAATGGGGCAGATACATGACTTACAATTTTCAAAAACCAGCTTCGTGTTATGTGTAATTTGTGTCAAAATTGTAGTATTTAGACATGACAATATCATTGGCTGTACTTCTCAAATATGGTACTTAACCCCTGCTATAAATGTGTTATTTAGGCAGACTGGACCATTGTGCAAATCATAAAGAAGAAATGGGGTAGATACACGACTTACAATTTTCAAAACCTGGCTTCGTGTTATGTGTAATTTGTGTCAAAATTGTAGTATTTCAACATGACAATATCACTGGCTGTACTTTTCTTATATGGTACTTAACCCCTGCTATAAATGTGTTGTTTAGGAAGACTGGTGTATTGTGCAAATCATAAAGAAGAAATGGGGCAGATACACGACTTACAATTTTCAAAACCTGGCTTCGTGTTCTGTGTAATTTGTGTCAAAATTGTAGTATTTCAACATGACAATATCACTGGCTGTACTTCTCAAATATGGTACATAACCCCTGCTATAAATGTGTTGTTTAGGAAGACTGGTGTATTGTGCAAGTCATAAAAAAGAAATGGGGCAGATACATGACTTACAATTTTCAAAAACCAGCTTCGTGTTATGTGCAATTTGGGTCAATTTTTAGTATTCGGATTAACCTAGGATACGACTCTGAACAGTTCTGAACAGTTACCGCAACACTACATGCCGTTTCGTAACTGCTGCTGTTGCCATCACTGCTATCAAGTAGTTCGGACATGGCAGGAGCTAAAAAAATTGCTTGTAGTCTTTCAAAGAATACTGGCGAGTGATAGGCTGTAAACGAAATGTGCTGCCTCAATAATTTCAAAAACTAGACACCCATGCGGCACGCTTGGAGGTGAAGTACAGAAGGCGAGTCGATCCGAGTATGACCTTTCGGACTGGACTGGACTGAACTATTCCAAAAATAACAACGAGGCGTCACGGGTGCGAGTCAACCCCTGTGACACGGATTTCTGTGCCGTGTCACCTCCCTAGTTTGAGTATGACTCCCTGG